GATCAGCGTGGAGGTAGATCTTTAGTCCTTTACGTGTAAAGGTTTATTTGTTTCCACGCGCAGCCAAAGTATGGAACTAACTCTCAACAGCAGTATTTCTGAACAGATATGACATTGTAACCTTCAAGAAAAGAGCATATCCCTTCCCAAAAGACCGATACCACACCTGTAATCTATCTGTTGTGTGCATGTGTCTATGGGCGGTGGTGATCTTTACCATCGAGTGGACCATGTTCTCGTTTAGCTCCTATGTTACAAAAAAACCGGACAGGAAATATTGTTAACAAAGGGGCTGCTAATCTTCCTTACCAGGAGGAAAGGGATTGTCAGTTATGGGGTCTAACTGATCAATTGTTAGCAATGCACCCAGGCATTGTTAATTCTAATGGAATTCGTTACGATGGACTAACTGACCTGCTTGGGAGGAAAGGGATTGTTAGTAATGGAGACTGAGAATCCCATTGCTAGCAATATACCTTACCAGGTCGACCTCATCGCGGTTCTCCCTGGAAACTATCATGGTTAATTCCTGATGAAATAATCATGATGGGCTTACTGGCCTGTTTTCATTCTCATGTATTACCCTTCACTGGTGCTCCGCCAGCGTATCCCGTTAGCACAGGTGGAGTTATCATACCATTTTCACCCAACAAAAATAAAAACTGACCTGCTTTCGTCGTAATCTATCATACTTCATTGGTGCCTCGCCAGCGTATACCGATAGGCGGGTTTGCCACTCCGTTATCGACCATTAAACAAAATCTTCTTTACCAACTGATAATGTTCACAGTACTGCTTGTGCTTATAGGCGATGGGTGTCACTTTCCATCAGGTGGACTGTCAGTTTGTTTGCTAATCCAAACATCTTAAAAGATCATAAGATGAAATAAAACAGTAGCTCCTATCAGCGATATTCGTATTCGCTGAGGGTTACCAATGAAGGATGATAAATTAGATAAATGAATTGACCCACGGTGATGAATTCTCAACAAATTGATCATTTCTAGAGGACCGCGTGGAGATCGAATTGACTACGTTACTAACAAACCGCTACATTGTGAATTAGTGCATACCATAACGGTTTAGGATCTTCTTTCTTAATAATATACGTACATATATATACCTACGTCACGGCTCTCTCCTATTGGGGTAGGCAGACACTATATAAATTTTTCCAATAAATTTAATGTACCATTTAAAAAAAATATATATATTTTTTTTTATTGTCAACATAAACTTGACCCGGTCGAGGTGATTGTTATGATACAAACAATAAAAACCCAGAGTTACAGCCTCCGTAGGAGTTGCTTGTACTCCGGTAATGATTGCTCGGCCCGACATCGTAATATTACATAATAATATGGTAATTGTTCCATGTTTTACATCGACCATACCAACGTAACATGTATAACAATTTGTTGAACAAAACAATGAAGGAAATCTAATCTAAATGTTATGTGTATAAATTCTGTTTTCAAGCGAATTATTTATTTATTTATTTATTTCAATTACTAACTAAATATTTATACAATGTATACAAATCGTATGACTGCCTATTTTTATTTTTAAATAAATTTTTTTTCACATTCACATTCACTTGAAAAGGTTTGCTGGAAGAAATTTCTTATTAGAGATAAGCTCGCCTTTGTACATTATGTTTATAATTAATTGTTTTTAACATTATATTTGTGTTTTTATACATCTTAGAATGGCAAACAAGCTGACGGCCCATCTGATGGAAAGTGGTAACCGTCGCCTATAGACATGAGCAGCACCGTGGACATAACAGAGTATACTGTTTCGATTATATTTATGTACAGAAAGAATAAAAGAAAATATGGTACATAGGACGGACTTTATACTAGTAGCATTCTTTACCAGTTAACCTATCCTTCTTTCTAATCTCTGGCGAGTAGTGCACGGGATAATAATAAAAAAAAAAATTGAAAAATTAATAATTCCGTTTTGTATTTTTTCTGCATGGCCATGCAGTTTATGAACGAAAAAAAAAAAAAACGTTATCGTCGGTGGTACGTGTTGAAGTCGTCAACAGATCGTTAGAAGGTCAATTTGATATAAACAAGCTTCAATTTTTTATTTTATTTGCGGAAATGTTTATGAGCCGTTGCGTTGAGTTTGGAAAGTTGCATGCATTCTTAACAGTTTTAGTTTTTAAGATGTAAAATTTGTTGTATATTTTATCTTGATGCGACATCTAGATAGCAGTGGTATATATTTCGAGTAAAAAGTTAAATATATAATTAAAAATGAATTCCTAGATATGTTGCTAAGCGCAAAATTTAAAAATGGAAGGACTAAATCGGCAAATATTCTTCAAATATTTATTGAAGTCCAAAGAAAGTGCTTATAAAGAGAAAAATTGGAAACCATTCCAGGAACGACTTACTTACTTAGTAGAACAGGAACCCTATTTATATTTTTTATAAACTGTTCCAAGTAGCAAATTCAAATATTTTAATTAAATATCAACGTCGAATACGTCAACGAATGCCATAGTCCAATAGCTTTTGACAGAACAACATCGTCTAAAATTTTTTTAAAAGTCTGAAATCTTTTTTCCTGCCTGTCGAGATTTTTCCCTGAAACTATAATGTGAGAATTATTTAAAAGGATGTAAAAAGGGGTTTAAAAAGGGTAAGTATTAAGGTTTTTTCTTGTCAACGCGTACAAGATACTCCTAGCGTAGAAGGCGCCCATAGGCAACTATGTAAGTTTACCATCAGATGGGTTTGTTTTTTTATACAATTGAGGTGCCAAACAAGAATACAGCCTACCTGATGATAAACGGTTACCGTAGCCTATGAACGCCTGCAATATCAGAAGCATTACGCGCCCATTGCCGACCCTGAAGGAACCTCTTTATTCTTCTTTTGAAGAACTCTATGCTATAATCTCTTGGAAGAACCTTGACAGTACTGTACTGCACGCAATCATCTAGGCTCTATGGTTTTGGGGTGAACTTCCATGATGATGGAATGGTAGCCCCACCCGCGTTATCGGTATACACCGGCGGTGCACCAGTGAAGGATGATAGGTGAGAATGAAGGAGGTCAGTTAACCCACCGTGACGAATTCAACAAGAATTGTTGAATCATGATAGTTTTTTCGATGGGTGAAATGGTAACCCCGCCTGCGCTAACAGGATACGCTGGCGGAGCACCAGTGAAGGGAGATAGATGAGAATGAAACAGGCCAGTTAGACCATCATGATGAATTCATCAGGAATTAACCATGATAGTTTCCAGGGAGAACCGTGAGGAAGTCGACCTGGTTGGGTATATTGCTAGCAATAGGATTCTCAGTCTCCATTACTAACAATCCCTTTCCCCTCTGTTCATGATGGTTTCCAGAGAAACCACGTGGAGGTCGACCTAATATTGCTAACAATGAGGCTGTCAAACTCCATTGATAACATTGGTAGAAGGTGGCCGCGGGCATCATATTGAACAATTCCTCTGAACACTATCCGTTGTATAAAAAGTAGAACACGCAGAGTGAGGCAAGATCTTTCCTAAGCTTTAAGGGTTCGATACCACTTGTGTTTGCTACCTTGGTAGCGTAAAAAAAAATTAATGTATATATTAAACATGGACAAGAAAAAAACCAGAGTAGTTATTAAGTCAATAAACGCTATTGGGGTTCGCGTGCCGTGCCTGGCCCACTATCTCTGACGATCTGCCATTACACCGACACTTCCGCGCTTACGGCTCACTCGCCAGCCAATATATTATCTGTTATCTACACAGGCGTATAACCCGACTTAATAGAAAAGCACAAACCAAATACAGTAACAACGTTTAATTGCTTGTAAACATTTTTTAGTGTTGTAATTTTTATCTTGTCCTTCGTTTTTAAGATTTTACCACATATAATTCTGTTTTTGTCAATTCTATAAATTTCTTACTGTTTTTTATATTATATCTCTCTTTTCATTTAAGAGTTTCCTCTTGTCGGTGCAACTAATTCATGCATCTTCTTCTAGCCAGCTTTATCCCAGGCCATATCCTTGATCTCCCTATACGACATGACACCTAGTGTTTCTTTATTCTGTCCCATGTCCTTGGTCCTCCTCTTCCTCTTTTGCCCTCTATCTTTCCTTCTACTATGCTCTTAAAAAAATCATCATGTCGTATAAGGTGGCCCAGCATTTTGCCTCTTCTATTCTCTATTATTTTAATTCACGTTCACTCTTTTCAGGACTTCCTCATTCGTTAGTTTTTCTGTCCAGCTTATCCTTTCCATTTTCCTCCATGTCCACATTTCTCCTCCATGTACACCTCAAGTATCTTTCTTTCCTTCTGCGTCATTGTCCATGTTTCACACCCATATAATGCTATGCTCCAAATAAAAGTTTTTATAAATTTCTTAAGGATTAATTTGGATATTTTTGATGTAAATATATGTTTTTTGTTGTTAGAGGCCTGTTTTGCGACCGTTATTCTAGTTTAAATATCCAATGTGCACCTAGCGTCTTCTGTGATTATACTTCCCAAGTACTTAAAGTTCCTAACATTTTGGATAGGCATGTTATTCATCTTTATTTGATTTTGACTTTGCAGTTTAATTGGCTTTTTAGAAGTACTGAGGATTTTGGTTTTAGTAGTGTTAATTGTGAGTGACATTTCCTTCATTATATTATATAGGAACTCTAAATTGAAATGTAGCTGACGTAAAGTAGGCTCTATTGCATCTATGTTAAGGTTAAAAATTAAAAAAGGAAGTAACTATATGCAGTTGTTGCATTTGTGGTATGCCTCTTAATTTCTAAGTTGCATTTATATTACCTTCCATTTTTCAAATTAATAACTTTACCCTTCAGATAGAAAGAAACACACATATATTGTTTATTCATGACATAAATAGGTTTTACGCCACTAGTTAAACAGAACTCCGCCCACTTTATTAAAGATTAGCGGCCCGTCCCGGCTTCGCACGGGTGGACATTTTTACATTTTAAAAAGTGGTTATTGTGACTAGAGATGGGCAATCCACCTGGGTGGGTTTAAAGTCTGGTGGGTAAAAACCGGGTGTTTTGGGTTTATTGGGTTTAAACCCCATAAACACCCAAATTTTTGGGTGTTTATGATTTTGTACTTCATCATCGTCATCTCAGCCGCAAGACGTCCACTATACTGGACATAGACAATATTATTATGCAGCCTACAGAATAAAAAACTTTTAATTTGATTTTGAGTTTATTAAGAAAGAGATGAAAGTAAAATGTAAAACTACAGTCAATCACTGTCAGATTCAGAGTTATTACAAGCGATGAATTGTATAGGTTCGATAGGCTCTATTTCGTCTAAACTGTTATGTTCATTTACTTGCTCAATGAAAGCTTCTAAGGTATTTTCTTCATTAAACTGAATGTCCTCGCATTCAGCTTTATGTTTAAGATTCCAGTTATAACAAATGAATGAAATTTTTTCAGTTCTTTCAGTTGTAAGTCGATTTCTTTTGTTATTATGTATGTAGCCTTGGATACTAAAGGAACGCTCAGTGGCTGCCGAAGTACAGGGAGCTGATAGAATACGAATCGCTACTTTGCTTAACTCAGTGGAACCACAAATACCTTTCCACCATATTAGGGGCTCAATGCTATCTAATGAGCTCCATACAAATCCTCTGGCCCAAAAGTTTTCTTTAGCTTTATAACACGCCAAATCTGCCATTACATTTGACAAACTTAAGTGTTGGCTTAAATTGTAGATAAACTCCATACCCTTAAGTTCTTCCTCTTGAGTAAGTTCGACTCCTAGAGTCCTGGGGTCTAGAATATATGCTGCAAAATGTATTGGCCTCATTGCCATATTGCATCTTGAAGATACTGATGTTAGAATCTGCTGTTTGCTTTCTTCGCTCAATGTCGAAATCTCATTTAATGCAAAACGTATCTTAGCTTGTACATCTCTAAATGTAATGTATGTGCGATGCAAACGATTCTGGTCGCTCTCTAAGTAAAATATGCTTTCAGTGACTGGTTCCAAAATACTTATACATTCCCCTGTCTTCGTCCAGAAATCATCACTTAGAATTAAATCTTTAATATCTCTTGAAATTACCACATCTTCTCTAACTGTTAATATTTGCAAAGCTATCTTATTTGCTTTCAAACTTTTTAACGAAGTAACATGACTTCCCCATCTTGTAGCACAAGGCAATTTTAGTGTTTGTGTAGAATCTTCACCCTGCCTTGATTTTATCAACAAGGAACTTAATCGTTGACTCCTTTTAACAGTTTTTATTATATTTATGGCTTGCATAATAAACACAGTTACTTCTTGTATCTTTACAATATCTTGGCACAACAAGTTAAGGATATGTGCACAGCAACCGAGAGGAACAACATGTGGATATTTGAGTTTTGTTAATTCGAATGCCTTTTGTATATTTCTAGCGTTATCGCCAATAAGTACAAGAAACTTATTTGCTCCATACACTTTCATTACTTTTTCAACTTCTTGGCTAAGGTATTCACTAGTGTGAGGATTACTTTCTGTATTCAAACTTTTAACGTATGCAGGTTGAGGTTTTGATATAAGAAAGTTTATTATTCCTTCATTTCTTAAATTAGACCAGCCATCGCACTGAAGGTGTAAGTAACTACAAGCATTTAGTTCCTCATTTAACTCAAAACGCATTTCTCTATATATTTTATCTAAGTATTTTGTCGCTAAAGCTTTACGTGAAGGTATTTTAAATTTTGGTTGCAATTTTTCGAAAAATTGTATCCATAAAGGATGTTGCACCATCGATAATGGCGTCCCTGTTACAAATATAGCTCTCGCTAATTCTGTTTTTATATGATCATCGGTGTCTTGAAACTCAGCATTTATTGTAGTGTTAGCAGACGACGAGGGGCTTATAAAAGAATCATTTGTCTCTATCTCTGACAGTCCAGACATTTTGGTTTTGGACGAGCTATCTTTTATAAGTTTCATAGAGTCTTTTAATGTTTCTGGAGATTTTGGACAAGTGATAAGATGTTGAAGCATTTTGGCAGCATTACTGAATTTGTAGACCTTATTACAAAGCTTGCAAGAAACAGACTTGTTTGGTAAAGTACGGTAGTGCTCCCATATGCGTAAATCTTTAGGTCTCCCCATTGAACCTAAAAAAATGAACGATGATTAGTTGGTCTGACGAAAATTCAACAATAGAGTGCCTATTTTTTTACAATGATTATTTCTTGTTATTTACAATAAATTTATTAAAAAAATAATAAAATAAATACAAAAAACCTTTGTAAAATTACATCTCCTCGGAGGATTAAACGCAGACGCTAGTTTATTATCGTATTGTTCTGTATTTTTCTCAGCAACTTCTTTAATTCGATTAGGTACTTACGCATATTATGTTAAAAATAAATATCTAGTACACATCTTAGGCTATCCACCATTATTATCCAATGACGACTCTCAGCTAACTATGCACTATCATCCAAAATAAACGTGTATGGAAAATTTTATCCCAGTCGGTTGAGGATTGAGGATAATTGCATCAACATACGAACATACCTACATACTTTTATTTACATAACGCAAGCTAAATAAAAGCTTGTAATAATACATCTAATTTTAAGTTAAAATTGTTAAGTGATCATGATATAATTGTATCATTCAAAAATCCACTTACCTTTAATTATTTCTTGTTAAGTATAAATATTATTTCAAATCTGCTCCCTTAATATGCACTTTTTTACTGCTTTTCCTACCTAACACGTTACCAGGAAGTCACGTTACCAGAGTCAGAGTAATAGTGAACACGTTTGACAGTGATTGTCGTCGCCTCATATTCAGCGTCGACGAATAGGGGAATCCCCAGTCATAATGTATTGCATGCGTGGCGGTCTTACTTCAAATCCATAAACAAAGAGATAATTACAGAACTCGATACTAGATGGCGCTGTTTTTGTTTGAAGAAAGTTTGCGGGCTAAAATACATAGAATTTCATCAATGACTTCCACAAAGAACAACATTTCTGTTTTTTCTAAGTCCGTATCTCTTCCGTATATTTCATAAGATATAAGCTTGGGCTACATTGATATGCAACGTGATTTTGTCGCTGTCTTGCTAGCAGGGTTGACAGATATACGATTTAAATCGTACTCATACTATTATTTGTCTATTTTTTAATGTACGATCGTAAAGATTATGATCGTAATTCGCACAAAAACATACGACTTTTTGGTTACCTGGCAACATTTTTATTATGAAACGAACATGCTCACATCATCAGTCACATGCAACAATTTATTGGGGATTTCCCCTTCACATCTGGCAGTCCTGCTTGCTAGAATATAGGTAAGTCAGCCACAGTTACTGACGATCGATATTTAAAGGGTATTGTTTTTGTGCTAAATATTTCATAAAAACGTTATTTAATACTTTGTGGATTATTAATTTAGTTGATAATCACTGGAAGTAAAATGGATGCTAATTTGAGAGATCAAGATCTTCGTATAAAACAGTTAATAAAAGAAAATCTACGTAAGTACTCTTTTTATACCTAGGTAGGTAAGGTATAATAAACACAAAAGGTACTTAGATCGCGTGTGTTCGAAGCATTTATTCTAATAAATTTAATTTAAAATTGTAGAAAGAAAAAAATGTCTGCCAAGCCGTAGCCGAAGCCGATCTCCAAATATATTTGGCGATAGTGAGACCCAGTGTCCAGATGATTTACCCAGCGTCGTCGCAACAAAGAAAAAAACGAGGATAAAGTAAAAGAAAATTTACTGAAAGAAGAAACAAACTGTTCTAAATGCTTAATTTATGGAGAAGAGGATAAAAGAAATGAGTATTTCGGACTGTTAGTGGCTCAAGAATTTAAATATATACGGCCATGTGTGCGAACGAGGTGTTATGAAGAAATTTTAAAGTATCTACGGGAAGCAAAAGGCCAACATGTTGATCAACTGCAACATGAAAACACTGAAAATTAATTACTTTCATTTTATTATATATAGATTTTTAAAATTTCCTGAAATATTATTAGTTAACGTTTTATTTAATATTGTAGAATTGATCAATACAATTTATAAAAATAATTTATTGGTATTACTTACATATTTTCAAAAAAATACGTAAAAACCTATTTTTTTGGGTGATTATGGGAGTTTATGGGTGTTTATTGGGTTTTTACCAAAGCACCGGGTTTAAACCCGGTGCTTTGCCCATCTGTAATTGTGACATAACGATAATAGTTGGACATATTGTATCACGAAATTTTTTGTAGTTTTTTGTTTTTTTTTTCTTCAATATTATAGAACATACTTTTGTTCCATCACCAATAATAATAATAATAATAAATAAATTTATTTCTTTATACAAAGGTAGTTAGTTACATTACAGGGTTTGGTATCTCCTGTTAAGCAAAAATTGCTTGTGTTAGGAGAAACCGCTCCTTCACAACAATAATTAAATTTTATAATCATTACAATTTACTTTTCTTTTTTTCTTAATCAGCATTAAAAATTTTACTTTGTTTTACTTTTATACAATAATACTAAAAAATTTACATATCATAAAAAAAGGAAAAATGTCTATTTATGATAATAAATGCGGTCGTGTATGTGCTTGTTCTTCTTGTGTGTATGTGTGTGTGCGAGCGTGTGTGTGCGTGCGTGTGTGTGCGTGCGTGTGTGTGCGTGCGTGCGTGTGTGCGTGCGTGCGTGCGTCGTGTGTGTGTGCGTGCTTCTGTGTGTGTGTGTGTATGTGTGAATTTGTGTGTATGATATAGATATATATAATAATATAGTTTGTGTTCTTTATTATTTTTTTTTACTTTTGTACTTTTTATTTATTATTTATATGGTTATTTTTTAATTCCAGACTATATTTTCTATTTCATCGTAACTTTTGGCTTTAAGCCAAGTAACTAGAGTCTTTTTACATTTATGATAATTGAGTGAATATATATCGAGTTCTTTATTTAAATTGTTATATATTTTTGATGATTGACTGGTGTATTGTCTTTTTGCATATGTAGTTTTAACTGTGATTGTATCAGCTACTTTGTGTTTTCTTCTATTTTTATTCTTTTCAGGATTATATGTTAGCGATTTATGTTTTTTTAATGTAAGTTGAAGTACATATAATTTTCTTACTGTCAGAAGATCGGTTATTAAGTAAAGGCTTTCAGTAGGGAACCGAAATGGTTTAAAGTACATCACCTTTAACAGCGATCTCTGTGCCCTTTCTAGTTCTAGAAATTTTATTTTTGTTGCCCCTCCCCAAATTGCTAAGCAGTAAACAAGGATAGATTGAGCCAAGGAGACATAAATTCGCTGCAATAAGGTTTTTGTAGTAATATGACGTAGCATTTTAAATACCCAAATAAGCTTTCGAATTCTATTCATAATTATTTCAGAGTGTTGGTGCCAAGATAAACGCTGATCGATAATTACTCCCAGGTATTTGGTGTTATGTACCTTATTAATTGTAGCGCAAGAACAATTAAAATTTTGATAGTTTCGGCATTTGTGGATCTTTATATTAAATCTATTTTGTGGTTGTGTACGATCATAGTTAGTAAAACAGATGTAGTTAGATTTAATGGCATTTAAAGTCAGTAGATTATATTGCAGCCAATCCGCTATTTTAGCCAGTCCGCTCTCAGTATGTAACTTTACTTGTTCCCAAGTCTCTCCTGTGAAAATAACAGCTGTGTCATCAGCAAATGAAATAACTAATCCCTCTTCTAATGCCATGTTACATAAAGTATTAATATATATAAGAAACAGTGTAGGGCCGAGGACGCTTCCTTGCGGGATCCCGTACGTAACTGTTTCTTCTGTACTGATAAATTCGCCTATCTTAACCCTTTGTTTCCGTTCACATAGGTAGTCTTTAAAAAGTTTAAGAGGTATTCCTCTTACACCTATACCCTCAAGTCTGTACAGAAGTTTGTAAACGGAAACAGTGTCAAAGGCTTTTTTGATATCAAGGAAAACAGTTAAACACTTATTTCCCTTATCAACCTCCTCTGTAATTTTAGCAACAAGCGTCGAAACTGCGTCCTCAGTAGAAAGCCCCTGTCTAAAACCGAATTGCTGCGATGATAATATATTGTATTTAGTTATATAATTTGTTAACCGGTTGTTAATTAATTTTTCTAAAGTTTTTGAAATAGGTGTTAGGACTGAAATTGGCCTGTAATTTTCGGGTTTGTTACCATCTCCTCCTTTGTACACAGGCGTTATAAGAGCCTGCTTCAAAGCGTTAGGGAAGATTCCCTGTTCAAAACACAAATTCGCTAGATGGCATAATAGAGGTACAGTCACATCATGTGCTATTTTTAAAAAACTAGTTGGTATTTCATCAATTCCAGGTGCACTGTCCGACCTTAAACTCATCAGCACTGAAAGCACCTCAGCAGGGTCTGTACCATATAGCACAAATGAAAAAACAGGAGGATTTTTACGTTCATAAATATTAGGATCCTGAGTAGCGAAGGAATCAACCTTAATTTTATCTGCCAGTACCTTGCCAATATTGGAAAAATATTTGTTTACCTCGTTTGCAGATTCCAAAGGTGTTGAGGCTATCTCCAGTAAATCCAAATTTTGTTGTTTCTTAGGATTCCTTTGAGTAATGTAGTTTATAGTGTTCCACAATTTTTTTGGGTCATTTTGTACTTTACTTAGTTTTTCTCGCTCATATTTTCGTTTTTGATTTTTAATCAAATTATTACAATGATTACGGTATCGTTTGTATGTTATTTTTAATATTTCATTATGTGGATCCAAATTTAGTTTTTTTTGCATGTTATTACGATTCCTAATACAACGCACTAATCCTACTGTCATCCAGGGTTTAAGGATTCTATTTTTTACAGGAATTGTAATTATGTTAGTGTTATTAATAAGACATTGTTGAATTTTATTAATTAAGCTATTTATCAATGTGTTCGGATTATTTATTTTTATCAAATCTAATACATCACTACTTTTTAGATCAGTCAATGCATTTTCTATATTCAGAGATTTTTTTGTTTTAATACATTTATTATTATAAAATAGATCAGATATTTTTAAGCAAGTCATATAGTGATCAGTTATAGTTGTATCAACAATCGCAATGTTAGCCTTTTTATATACACAGTTAAGTTTTATAATAAAATGATCGAGACAATTGTTTCCTCTTGTAGGTTGTGTATGTCCAGGTAAAAGGCCGTGCATAGCAAGCATGTTTAAATAATTTAATCTATTTACACGATCAATTGATTTTTCATGCTGATTAGATATCAATAGGTTCCTTTACATTTACAAAAAGTGGTTATTGTGACATGTTTTTTGTAGTTATTGATATTTTCTTCAATATTGTACAGCATACTTTTGTTCTATCACCAATAGTTTCCGCAGCGCACGCGACGAAAGATATTTTATAACATTTTATCACACCTTGAGTTACGTTACTAAAGTTTTAGTAAGGATCCCTAATATTTTTTAGCAATAAACATAGCCTATGTTACTCAGGGTGAATGTAGCTTTCTAACGGTAAAAGAATTTTTGAAATCGGCAAAGTAGTTTTTCAGTTTATTCATTACAAACATACATACACATGAAAATACAAATTTTGTCCTCTTTATAATATTAGTGTAGATTATAACAAATTAATAAAACTGAAAGTTAATTAAAACTTATACAAGAAATTGTATTAAGGTTAATTTATCACGATTTGGAAACTCAAGTGCTTAAAGTAACTTTTCGCAGGCAAGTAAAAGGCAAACAAACATTCTATTTGATAATATAATTCAATTAAAATGTTAAGAGGGTTTATACTGTGAAACGGGCAACATCCAATTACTCGCACAAATTGAAATACAATTAAATAATTTCACATTATTTCACTAATACACTTTATTGGGGGGGAAACGGATTGTTAGTAATGGAGACTGAGAATCCCATTGCTAGCAATATATCCAACCAGGTCGACCTCCTCGCGGTTCCCCCTGGAAACTATCATGATTAATTCCTGATGAATTCATCATGATGGGCCTAATAGGCCTGTTTTCATCCTCATCGAT